TCACCCAGTGTCCGCACTGGAACTCGCCTCTACCACAGGCCCTGTGCTCGCCTGAAGACTATGGCGCTGCCGGGTCAGGAAACGCAGACGAACTGAGTGACCCGGCCAATCAGCCTTCTCCGAAGCTACTGCAACCGGCTGAAGTAGCCGTCCTGTTTGATTACCTTACTCACGGTCTACGCATGCTGGACGTGCTGCGAATAGTCTCCAAAGATGGCCAACTGTTCTTGCGCGGGTTAGTTCTCACTTTTTTAACGTACAGTGAAGGAGGCTCCATCAATCTATATACATAAATAAGCATGCAGAAGGGAATTATCGGCAAAGACAAGAGAGACTGGGATGGCCATTTCTAGCGTATCAGCCGTCCTCAGCTAGTCATATTTAACCCACGTGCTGCCCTAGAAATTGGTGCCCCACTCGAGTTTCAAACCCGCGACCTTGTTAGTTAGAAGTCCAACGCTCTATCCACTGCGGCACGGGCTCGCTGTCTTGTTGGTAGTTGATCGGGAATAAACAGTGGCATATAGGCGTAGAGGGAAGTTCTTTGGGAAACGGTAATCAACTGTATTATTTGTGAATGGACGCTCACCAATCGGTTATGGATTCATTCATGCCTTTGTTGTGTAAAATTTTGACGCTCTGTTCTCCAGGTCGTCATCGTCAAACGAACAGTAAATGTACGAAACTGTTAAAATTTCAAGTGCCTGGAAAAAGTACATGTTGCTTTGTTATTCCTGCCAATAGCTGTTACTGTGAGCTGACATGTTGTCCAGATTGGCTGTGGCCCTTTCCGTTCTCCTCTGAAATAGTAGCGTCCATTTTGATATGCCGACTAATGCCCGAATGATTAGTGCATGACCTGCGAACATTCTCGGCCTTAGAAAGACAGAAACGGACAATTCAAGTTTTTTTTCCAGGTAAAGGTGTACCCAGTTTCTAGTGTAGGCATGGCAACGTGAAACAACTGGCCCGATCTCTTTACTGCCAACTGGTGTTTGCGTAGGGATGTAGAGACACATCTTTCTGTTTAACCACGATACACTGCATTGCAACTGTCACACAGAATCTTGTAAACGACTTCTTTTGTTATCCAAATAGCCAATCCTATCCACAGGCTGTACAAGCTGGTTTCGCAGTGTAGTCACCGGTGTGTGCGCCACTTGAATTTTGTGTTTTTTGGGCGTCTTTCAACGAGTTCGGACACATTTGTAATGTACGCAAGTGTTCGCCATTTTTAGTTTGAACGCCCGATCAGAGAAATCTAGTTTCTTGTCTTGTCATGTTGTTTCATGCATTTACACACAAAATATCTGGGATAAACATCTGTGGAAAAGAATTGGGACAGATAACTAGTAAATTTCTGGTAAATTTCGTTGTCGGAACAGTGAGCTTTTGCTCACTCGAGTACGGCGTTAACCATAATTCGCTTGTAAGAGACAGGGTCGGAGCTCTCGTAATAAAGAACAAATTCCACAAAAGCCTTTTTTGCGGTTAACGGATGTGTGAAGTGTCCCGTCGGTCTTTCTCTGTGCAAAGGCAAGGGGTCAACTGGAAACACTGCATAGCCTTATTACCTAAACGGCAATAGGAATCACCTTCACACTCCAAAAATAAGTTTGCAGAAAACTTCCGTTTTTTGACGTCATCATACACCGAAAGACTGACTTCATAATTCACATCTCGGTTTGCCCCAAAAAGCTTACCCGGATGTTATTAGATATTACGAAAGCAACCACGTTGCCGTGACCTCTGTCACCCATACGGAGCTTGTTTGCTTCGGGAGGCCAATGAATCGGAATGTTAACTTTGTTTGGCGCATTTGCTCTGCATCGGACGATGGCATAGGAAATCGGTTTCGAAAATTAAGACAATAATGTCTTTTCCCAAAGAGTATATTTGACTTTAACTTATATTTCTTGGGGTCCTTATCTTTTAATGTGCATGTATATATTACTGAAAAGTGCTTCAGTAGTAGAAATTGTGTTTAGTTATGTTTGAGGCTGCAACCTCAGTTTGATCATTCCTCATTTTGTGACTCGTGAACTAAAGACTTCCCTCCTATTTTATTTTTATGATTAGGCCTCAGTCCGGCGCAAAGTACCCGGATGAACGCTTCCTGTTGGAGACGGTTGCAATGACCTTTGTCCCCTTGAACCCCATCTCCTTTAGAGAGATATTTTCTGGCCAAATCGGCGTAAGTTTATCCCTTTGCTCAAACATCCGTTATCTGCAACTCTTGTCTCTGCTAACACGATCCTATATATAAAAAGAGTTTGATAGATAACTAAATTGGTAAATAATTCTCTCCGTCTTGGCTTTTTTCGCTGTTATTGTTCGGCACCAATAATAGGCGTGTATTTTGCCGGCCCATATAAAATTATCCTAACTTTGGCGTTAGCTGTACTTTTTCCCGCTAAATTGCAGATATGTTGGATGTGCTGGGGTTTCGGATGAATTAGTGTTCATCAGTTTAGTAGACTTACGTGCTAGATCTACCGTTTTATTTTGGGGCTGCCAAACTTCCAACTTTCTTGCACTGACCCAATTGTCAGTTTCTTACGCTGTTCGCCATTTAGCAATCTGGTCTGACTGCAACGCCGTTCGATTATAGGCAGAAAAATATTACCGACAAAGATAAGGGGTATTTTAACGACCACTTTTTACTTATTAGCCATCAGCAGCCAGCCATGCCCAGCCCCAATTGGTGCACCGTCCGAGGCTCGAACTCATTCACCAAAATTTCGATTATTTTGTTCCTCATTGGTATTCTGTGGTCTGTGAAGGT